CACTGGGAGAGCACTGGGAGAGCAGGTGGGGGATGGGGCCTGTCCAATTCAGAGATTTGGCCAATACACTTGAACCCATGTTCTTCCTTGATGACTAGGGTGCTTTCTTGGGGGATGGGTGTGAATTCAGATTCTTTCAGGGAAAAGGAAGAAGTAAACTTGGATACCCCACATTCTGAATGAATACCTTGAATACCCAGCTACTCAGTGGAAGAATAGTTTTTTCCATCAGTTCTATGAATATGGTTTTGAAAAGTTTTTTTGAAACATAACTATTTGGTGAATTAATCCAAATTTGGCAGTAGTTTTGGAACAACCTAAACCTTTAAAAAAAAAAAAAAAGAAGCTATTTTCTCACAAAATGTCATCCAGCATTAGCTGTGGGTAATCTAAGTGAGGGAGGCACAGGAAGTCATGCTCTTCCACTGTGTGCTGCTAGCCTGGTATGAAGGGAAACAAGGCATGTCCCAGACATGTCCCCAACTCTTAGCACCAAATAGGCTTTCAGCAGGGAATTGTTCTTGTGCTCAGGACAGTGCAAAGACAGTGCCTGCGACTGGCCCTTGCCTGATGGGTGCATGGCAGGTCTCTGTGCGCCTCTCTGGTTTGGAGTCAATAGCACATCTAACCCTGGAGGAGCAGGGTCTGTCTCGGAGTGAGGTCACACAACACAGTGTCTGTCTGGGTGGGTGCTACATAGGGAAGACCATGGAGTTGAGGAGCAGGGAAGAAGAGTTTGCCCTGGGGGACTGAGAAAGGAAGATGAAGGATTCAGGGGGAATGTGCAGCTGGAGGATGGTGACAGGCCCCATAACCTAGCTGTCTCCAATTCAAGAAGTAGGGGCATCCCTTGCCAATAAGGAGAACTAACAGGCATTGGGTACAGAAGAACAGGACTTTAGTCTCTATACAGCCCTCCCCTGCCCCATGCTGGCCATTGAGTCCCATTGACTTTCCCTGTTCATGGCTGTAGGGGAAGCCTCCAGGTCCTACCAGTCCCCAGCACAATGTGTCTGCTTAGCCTGAAGTAAGTGAACCAGGCAAATGGTGGCCAAGCACATGACCACGACCTGTTGATGCTAGTGGGCGAGGGACCTGTAAATGCTGCTGGCTGTTGGTATATGTTGTGGGTTGCCAGTAGTTCTATCCCCTGCCTGACATGTTCAATAAAGTACCCCCCAAGGGGACCTCCATTCACCTGCTCCCACTCTCACCCTTGGTTTAGGTCCTGACTCAGACACCAGAATCCCTAAGAGTTGTGGCCTGAACTTGGCTCCAGACAGTAGTTCTTCAGTGCCCAACAAAGACAAGCATGTGGCTGGTAAGAGAAGCTGTTTGCTGGTTGATGCCTCCTGGGGAAAGAACTGGATACTGGTCTGTCCTTTGAGCTTGCACTGCCTGGGTTCTTTGCCTTCCTATTTGTCTCCATCTTCTCCTCAGTGTCCCCCTGCCTGCATGTCCTCCTCCAGAGAGATGATGACTTCCCTTGTCTCTGCAGGAATAAATTCTGGAAATTTGGTTGGGGGAAGGAATAAACTGCAGGTACTGGAGAGAAGAACAGAACCTCTTTTAGGATTGTGTCCTTGTTGAGGTTGGAAACAAAGGGAGTTACTCCTCCCATCACTAGTAGTTGGGGAGTTGGAGGACAGGCACCCAGTTTAGGGGTGAGTTTAGTCCAGTGTCTTTCACATGCCCCATTCACTCTCTTACATGCATTGCCTTCACCAGGTTTGACACCGTCACTGTTGACAGTAACCTGGACTCAGTGAAGACAGCAAAAGACCAGGCTGACATCCCCAAGGCTGTCATCCACCAAAGAGGTGTAGCTCCAATACCCAGCCCAGCCCAGCCACTGCCCCAGAGAGCTCTGGGATACTGTCAGTGAAAAAAGAGATAAGGATCCTTCTTCCCTTCTGCCTCCTCCTAACTCCTCCATCTCACTGTATCCTCATGCCTTACTCCAGTCTCCTCTCTCTCTGGTTTTCTAGGCAATTGAACCATGTTGGATGGGTAAGGAGATGGAATTGCCCATAGTGGTCACACTGGCACCACTCTTCCATTTCCATCCACACCCAGAGGTTACCATTAGTGTTAGTCACTTTTCCCCATGGAGCATACCTTGATTCATCACCTTGTTCTGAGCCTGGAACAGGTGTCCATTGCCATTTAGGACCGCATCTCTTGTAGGTGCCCTACTACCACTGCTCTTGCTGCATTAAGTCACAAAACTTGACAGCAGTGACCACAGTGTAAAGTAGACGTGCCTGAGCTAGCTTTAAACTACTTGAGTCAGGTACCAGTAGCAGTCTAGCTGTGGCAGCACAGAGGTCAGTATAGCCTGTAAAACTACTTGAGAAGCAGGATGAATTAACGCATGCTGAACTTTGTGCTGCTGTAGCTAGATTGCTACCAGTACCCGAGCTAGTTAATTCCAAGCTGCTGTGATTGCAGGGAAGAGAAACCCGTTGTCTCGTTGTTTGCTTGCACTACCCTGTCTGAATCCATCTGTTGTCTCTAGTTTTATACTTTGATCTGGTCACATCAACAGGGTAAGCTAGGGTATGAAGTTGTAGTACATCATATACTGCATAGTAAGTGCTTATGTGCATATACTTCTCAAGTGGTAAATGAGATGTAGCTTGTTTCACTTTCTTCACATGCACACTGGTCAGTTACCAGAGGGTAGCTGATGTCCTGTAAGCTCTCCCCCACCTTCACTGGGTGGTAATGTGTTCATTTGCTTGTGCCTCTAGATTGTAAGCTCTTTAGGACAGCTCAGTTGTTTTGTTCCATGTTTGTGCAGCACCTAGCTCAGTGGAATTTTGCTTTCTCTAATATTTTTTCCTTTCTCCAACTAGTTCCTGACTACAACAGCAATACACTTCATTCGCCCCTGGGGGACTCATTGGGGTAAGTGCTAACAAAAACCTGCTTATTAGCCCAGTGTCTTGGTGATGATACAGAGTTACCATATTCATGTAAAGACATGACATGTAAAGAGTATTCAGGTTGTAGCCATGTTGGTCTAGAGGCAAAGGGAATCAGAACTCGTGGTAGAGGTGATATCTTTTATTAGACTAACCAGATTTTTGCAAAAAAAGGTCTTTAATTGCAAGTTTTCGAGCACAAGCACCCTTCTTCAGGCATAGGAGAAAAGATTGTACAAGTTCTCCTGGGTAGAAATAAAAATTCATATTTCATAGGAGAGTTGAAGGTATGGTAAAATATCCTGTTTGGAAACATTCATTTTATGCAGATTAAGCTCAGAGAAAAGTTGGAGTAGTCTGTTTACCTCAAAGGTGTTTGGTGGCAAGCAGAATGTAGAGTCATATTTCCTTCTGGTTATGATGATTCATATTTCACATGAGTAAAAGAATGGAATGCTCTTCTGGGCAGGATTTTCTTATGCGATGAAGTATATCTGAGCTCTGCGGTAATGCAAATTCCCTCGAACAAAGGCAGGAACTGAGGCTCAGGTTTCAGGTGGTAAAACTTGCTTCCTCCTTGTAAAATTATGAAGATTTAATTTTAAAAATTGGCTAAAATTTGATATCTTTCATGTGTCAGGTATCCAGGTTGTAGCTGTATTGGTCTAGCCTGAAAGCTTGCAAATAAATAATTTTTTTTGCAAAAATCTAGTTGGTCTAATAAAAATATCACCTTTACCACAAGTTCTGATTCCTTTTGACATGTAAAGATGCATTCATGTAAAATGCATCCAGCATTTCACTTTGGCTTGTGCTGACCATGGTTCTGCAGCCTGCCACAAGGCCTTGTCTCAAGCACCAGGACTAGAGCAAAGAAGCTAATCCCATGCTCTGCAGTCCTGAGTATCTCTACTGATGTAGACACCCAGCACTGCCAGAGACACTGTAACCTCCTCTAGAGGTTAGAATGGGGAGTAAAGAGCTTCTGCCATATTTTTTTAAATATGTGGCTGGGGATATTCAGCAGTTTGCATGAGCCATGAGTACTCATGTGAATCAGATCTTAAATGGTCATGAGGTACTGACACAGACCCAGATGGAACCTGTCAAGGATTCTCCTGCTTTCAAACCCTTGATATAGTTCCATCCAGGTATCCATCATTCGCTCTTGATTGTTTCAGATGATCCTTGGTTTAAGCACATGCCATGTGCAAATCCACTTGGCCTTGATGCTTTCCTCTTGACCTTGGAATGTGGATCTTGTGTAGTACAGCTGTTTGGGTAAGACCGTAGGAACTGCCATTTATTGGGTCAGACCACAGGTCCTTTTTGCCAAGTACCCTGTAGGCCTGTGCGAGTAGGCAGCTATTCGATCCGACTTCACCGCTGCACGTTTCATTCAAATCGGACAAAACACAAGAAAGTTATAGATTTTTCATTGATTCCCCATTATACCCCACGGCTGGATCTCCGAAGCTACTCCACAGCAGTTCGGAAGCTCCAATCTGCTTTGGAAAGCCTAAAGAAGCCAGCACTTCAATCCGGACATGCTGCTTCGGACACTGAAGTATCCGAAGCTTCTCCAGATCCGAAGCACGGTCCAAAGCCTCACATAGCCCTAGTATCCTGCTTCACAGTAGCTGAGGGTGAATGCTGAAAGGGAGAGTGAACAGGGTATGATCAGGGTTTGTCCCCTGTTCCTCTCTTACTTACACCCTTCAGCATTTAAGGAAGTTCTGATTCACATGATATACCCCAAACTCCCATGCTCAATAGCTACTGAGGCACATTTCTTCCAAGAATTTGTCTAGTCCCTTTTTGAATGTGGTTAAATTGTCAATTTCCACAACATCTGGTGACATTGAGTTCCACACTGTAATTACATGCTGTGTGAAAAAGAACTTTATTTTGTTTTAAACTCTCTACCTACTAGTTTCATTTTGTTACCCCTACTTCTTGTATTGTGAGAGACAATAATATTCCCCATTTGCTTTTTCTTTGCTGTTTAGGATTTTGTTAACCCGTATCATGTCCCCCCTCAGGCATCTCTTTTCTAAACTGACTAGGCCTAACCTCTTCTCATATGGATGGCGCTCCATATCACTAATCATTCTCATTGCCATTCTCTGTACCTTCTTTAATTTTCTATATCCTTTTTGAGGCATGGGGACCAGAACTAGGCACAGTATTTAATGTATGGATGCACCATGGATTTATAAAGGAGCATAATTATACTTTCTATTTTGTTTATAATTCCCTTCTTAATAATTCTGAACATTTTGCTTGTGTTTTGAATGGTTACTGAGCACTGAGCTGATGTTTTCAGCAAACTGTCCACAATGACTCCTAGACTTCTTTCCTGTGTGATAACAACTACTGTACTGCAGAGCCCATCATAGTGTAGGTATAGTTTGAATTACTTTTGCACGTATCTACATTGAAATGCACCTGCCATTTAGTTGCCCGTTTGCTCAATAGTGCCAGAATCTTCTGTAGTTCCTTAGGCTTTTTTTATTTTTTACTTCTGCAATTCCACCATTAAACCATGCTGGGTTTCTTTTGGTCCTCTTACAATTTTTTAAAATTCGCAGCATACTTCTGCTCTGTGGCTCCAGTGCAGTGTCCTTAAGCAGTTCCCATGCTGCCTGCAAGTTCTTCACCTCCATACGGGCCCCTTTTAACTTCTGTCTAACTAGCTTCTTTCTTTTGGTATAGTCTCCCTTTCTAAAATTAAAGGTTACTGTGATAGATTTTCTTCTTGTCTCTCCCCCAACATGGATTTCAAACTCAGTTGCATTGTGGTCACTATTGCAGAAAAGCTCAGTAACACTTCCCCTTTGCACCAAATCCTGTGCACTGCTCAGGACCAGATTTCCTCTTGAAGGTTTCAGGACTAACTGCTCCAGGAAGCAGTCTTCTATAATGTAAAGAAATTTGGTCTCTGCATCCCGGCCTGAGGTTAGATCGACCCAATCCATTGAGGTTAGATTGACACAGATGCTGATTTTACAGGTGCTTAGACTCCAGCAATGATGAAGAGGAGGAGGAAAAGGAGTGTCTGCAATCTAATGACAGTACACATTGGAGGAGCAGCAGCCTTACAAGAGTGAGCTTGAGCCCAAGCAGAGCAGCAGCATCCAGTTGGAAGCAAGCTAAGAGGGAAATCTGCCTAGACTACAAGGTGCTCCCCTGTCTGACAGCAAAGGGAAATTTTCCCACAGGAGAGAGGGGTAGCAAGTATATTACAGATGGCAGAAGGCCTGGGTGCTCCATGCACAGTTCATTGCAGGTGACTTTTAATAGAGCTATTGGGATCCCACAGAAGGTTTTGAGATGTCAGATCATTCCCTGTTATGCACTGGGATGAAACCAAAACTGTTCCACATTTGATTGTGAAGAAACAAGAAATACCTCCCCTTCACATCCTGGAATAGGCTCTGTGGTTAGGGCACATGCCTCTGATATGGGAGATACTAGCTGTTCCAATGAATATTTAATTATCTGTGCAGAGTGCAACAGGAGAAACTGAGGGTGACTTACCTCAGAACAGCCAATAAAGCACTCACCTGTGACGTGGAAAACTGAGGTTCAAGTCCCTGCTTTGTATCCAGATCTCTCTTCCACAATCCTGGTGAGTGCACTGCTTATTGGCTATTCTAGGTGCAGGGGTCTTTCTGGTTTTGAGCTGAAAATTCTACCCCAGATCCAAGAAATGCTTCCTGTTAAAACTGATATGAATGTCCCTGCAAGCAAGTTACAGTTCTGATAAAAACTGATTCACTTGAAAATTTCTAACCAGCTCTGCCTTTTGGGAGGGAATCTGTTTTTTTCTTTTTGATCCATGTGCAGCATCATGGTGGCCAGTGCCTGCAGAGAACATGGGTCAGGACACCTCTTGCTGCAACGGAAAGTGGGGTGCACTGCCCTGGCCTGCACCTGTCCCAACTGGCAGCTCCATTGCATAGGAGTGCATCGCCCCAAAATAGCTCTATTGAATGAGGTATATCCCCCCAATGCAGCTGTATTGCATGAGCATGCATCCCCAACCCCAGCCTGTCACCATCACTAGTCACACCTCCCTCAGGATCCTCTTGCTTTCCTCCCCTCCCCTCCCTCTTCCTCCACCCATGGGACAAGTAGCACACCTCCCCCCACCCCCCAGCATGAACCCCTTTCCCTCCAGGAGTGCAGAGCAGGAGGAAACAGCTGGGCAGAGGTGGAGGCAGCCCCTTGGCAGCTGTGGCTGCTCGGCTTCTGGGGATTGAGTGAGGAAACGCAGGCAAACTTCTCCCTCCCTTTGCACTGGCTCTCTGCAACCCACTGTTCTCCCCCTTCCCCACCCAACCATATGCTTTTCCCCTGTTATGATGCTCCAAGGCACCCTGGGCAGTGCAAGGGCAAAGCACCAGAGACATGGAGCTGGGCAATGACTCCCTACTGCCAGCCTGGGCCCTGGGCCACTGGGCTGTCACTGCTTTGTCCTGCCCACCTGGCTTCAAGCATCCTGACCCCTTGGAGCTGTCCCTGGAGTCAGAGACAACTCCTCCTGTGGCGGGTGCAGGGACCCCACCTCAGGAAAACAGCTGGGTATTCGTATCCCACTGCTATTTCCACCACCTGAGGCGGGCCAGTAGGGGGTGCTCCTGCATTGAGCCGCCCACCTCCCTGCACCCGACCACCTTCCAGGCTCCGAATGCCTCCCTAGGGGCGCCTTATGTCCGGCCGACCCCTCTCC